AGCTGAGGAAGAATCTGGTGTCTGGCTCACTGTTGAACAAGCATGGCTTTCGCATGGTGTTCGAGTCAGACAAGGTTGTTTTGTCTAAGTTAGGAATGTTTGTAGGCAAATGTTATGTAACTGATGGGCTTTTTAAGCTCAATGTAATGCCTATTATCATGAATAAGAGCAAAGTTAATTCCGTTTACTTGCTTGAGTCTTCCAATTTGTGGCATGGTAGACTAGGTCACGTTAATTATAATTCTATACGTAGATTAATTAACATGGACCATATTCCTAATTTTCAAATTAACACAAATAACAAATGTGAAATTTGTGTTGAGGTAAAATTAACAAAAGTACCTTTCAAATCGGTTGAAAGGGAAACTGAACCACTAGAATTAATTCATAGTGATTTGTGCGATTTTAGATCGATACAAACGAGAGGTGGTAATAAATATTTTATCACGTTTATCGACGATAGCACATGTTATTGCTATGTGTATTTGCTTAAAAGCAAAGACGAAGCCTTGGAAAAATTCATTCTTTATAAGAATGAAGTTGAAAACCAACTTAATCGTAAGATTAAGAAAGTTAGAAGCGATCGAGGTGGTGAGTACGAAGCACCTATTGGTGACTTCTGTGCGAGTGTAGGTATAATACACGAGCGTACTGCACCTTACTCACCTCAATCGAACGGTGTTGCCGAACGAAAGAATCGTACATTGAAAGATATGATGAATGCGATGCTTATAAGTTCGGGCCTACCTCAAGATGCGTGGGGTGAGGCTATTTTGACAAGTAATTACCTTTTAAATAAGGTACCCCACAAGAAGTTTGATAAGACTCCTTATGAGCTGTGGAACGGTAGGAAACCTTCCTACCAGTACCTGAAAGTGTGGGGGTGTCTTGCCAAAGTTTTGGTGCCAACACCTAAGAAAGTAAAGATAGGTCCTAAGACAGTGGACTGTATCTTTATTGGCTATGCACATAATAGTAGTGCTTATCAGTTCTTAGTACACGAGTCCCATAATCCGGACGTACACGAATACACGATAATAGAATCAAGGAATGCATCTTTCTTTGAAAATGTATTTCCTTGTAGGTCCAATAAGGGACCGAGGTCGTCAAAATGAACATTTGACGAAGCTATGGATAATGATAGTGGGGAATCTGAGAGAGAACCCGAGCTCGAGCCAAGACGCAGTAAGCGGGCGAGAGTTGGAAAATCATTTGGTCCTGATTTTCTAACTTACTTGTTGGAGTACGATTCGAGTACTCTAAGTTGTTTATTAGAAAATGAACCCGATTTTCTATCTTATTTGATAGAAAATGAGCCTCGAACGTACGGAGAAGCCGTGACTTCTACAGAAGGACCAATGTGGAAAGAGGCTATTAAAAGTGAAGTGGATTCTATTTTACAGAATCACACTTGGGAACTTGTTGATCTTCCTCCGGGTAGTAAACCATTAGGATCCAAGTGGGTCTTTAAAAGGAAGATGAAACCCGATGGTTCCATCGAGAAGTATAAGGCTAGGCTTGTAATCAAGGGTTACAGGCAACGCGAGGGCCTTGATTACTTCGACACGTATTCTCCCGTGACGAGAATAAACTCCATTAGAATGATACTTGCTATAGCCGCGCTGCGGAATTTGGAAGTTCATCAAATGGACGTTAAAACCGCTTTCCTAAATGGCGAACTAGATGAGGAAATCTATATGGAACAACCCGAAGGGTTCGTGGTTCCGGGCCAAGAAAGGAAAGTGTGTAAGTTGGTTAAATCGCTATATGGTTTAAAACAAGCGCCTAAGCAATGGCATGAGAAGTTTGACCATGCGATGTTGACTAATGGATTTAAAATAAACGAAAGTGACAAATGTGTCTACGTTAAAGAAACGATAGACGGTTATGTCATTCTTTGTTTATACGTAGATGACATGCTCATCGTTGGTAGTAACGATCGGATGATCAAGTCTACCAAAAACATGTTAAATGCGAGATTTGACATGAAGGATATGGGTTTGGCTGATTTAATCCTCGGGATTAGAATCATTAGAAGACCTGATGGTCTGGTGTTAAGCCAATCACATTATATTGATAAAATCCTTGAAAAATTTAACAAGGATAATCATCAAGGGACTAGGACGCCATTAGATCGAAGCGTTTATCTAACCAAGAACCACGGAGAGTGTATTTCTCAAGTAGAATATGCTCGGGTTATTGGTAGTTTGATGTATCTAATGAGCTGTACTAGGCCGGATATTGCCTTTGCGGTTAGTAAACTCAGTAGATATACGAGTAACCCCGGTGCCATGCACTGGACGGCAATAGTGAAGGTTCTGAGATACTTAAGGTATACTCGAGACCTTGGACTGCACTATGGGAGATATCCTGCTGTACTTGAAGGGTATAGCGACGCTAGCTGGATATCCGATATTAAGGACTCCAAGTCCACAAGTGGCTACGTGTTTACACTAGCCGGTGCAGCCGTTGCATGGAAATCCTCTAAACAGACCGTGATAGCTAGATCCATGATGGAATCTGAGCTGATAGCCTTGGACAAATGTTGTGAAGAGGCTGAATGGCTACGCCATTTTTTAGAGGATATTCCTAATTGGGAAAGACCTGTACCTCCAATGTGTGTGCATTGCGATAGTCAAGCTGCAATTGGACGAGTACAGAATCATATGTATAATGGTAAGTCTAGACATGTGCGTCGCCGACATAATACCATTAGACAACTTCTCACAACTGGTGTTGTCTTGATTGACTACGTAAAGTCAGAAGACAATATAGCAGATCCGCTAACCAAAGGGTTATGTAGAGTAGCTGTGGAGAAGTTGAGACGAGGAATGGGTCTAAAGCCCTTGGTATAAAGTTCTATAGTGGACACCCAACCTAGCTGGCACCTAGGTTCAATGGGACAACTAAATTATGGAACGGAGCGTGTCACTGTGGGGGTCTCGGATTCCCTACCACTCGTTAGAAACAGTGGCTCCCGCACAAGGTTAGCATGTTAAATGCTTTAGTGATTCGAATGTCGGTTGACATATGTGAGTATGCGGGATACTCGGGAAAGAATCACCTATGTGAGAGAGAAGTGGGGGTCGCTTCAAAGGAGAATTGACAGGCACAATTCTTCACAAACTCTTGCAGAACCAGGAATGGTGACCCACGACCAAAATGGGCACAATCATGAGAACAAAGCATGGTTGGGAGGTTCCTGTGTGAGATATGTCATCGTCTACACAAACGGCAGTCGGTTCAAAGACATCGCGTTCTACCGTACAGTCAGTAGAGTAAATGTATCTTCACGAGGGAAGGTTCAAAGGGTGTGACCCTACCTATCCTTTGCAGGGATCGACCGTTGAACACAGTTGTTTCCGTTTTAAAACTACCCCGAAAATCAATTTTCATTCATGTGGGGGATTGTTGGAAAAATTAGCTTAAAATGACATAAAATGGCATATTAAGTGGCTATTTTGTGGTACAATTATCAGTGGGGTCCACTTCCGATTTGGGTCGGGTCAAAGTGGATTCGGGTTCTTCGTAGTAAGACGAAGAGATTGATATATTGTACGCTCAAAACGGATAATGGGTGAATGAGATATTGATTCTCAAAGTAGACCCATTTAAGTTGGGAAATGAAGGGAAAATGTAGGACTTTGTTCCACATTGGTTTGGAAACAAGATTTGCCCCCCTTATATACATGAGCTCTTTTCAAGCTTGTAGAATTGTATAGCATAGAGGCTCTCTCGCGCGGGGGGGGGGGGGGGGGGGGGGGTGCAAATCAAAATCCAACTAGAGGACATCGAAAAGGCTTGATTCAAGCCCGAGCTCGCGTGCGCCGGCACCTGAGGGCACGAATGTCGTCCGGAAATGGGCTGGCCTTGCGGGCTAAGTTATGCCTAACTTCGGTATCATTTTCCATCTGATATAGTCACTTGGTTCGGCCAAAACCGAACTGAGAGCACCTACTCTCGTGTATAGCACGAGAGGTTGTGGTGCAACCCGAGAGTAGTGCATTCTCGGGTTACACCACAGTGAGCACGAGAGATGTACTCTCGTGTTGCTGGTCCGTGTGCTCTCGTGTGAACCTGCACCCCAACGGTCTGAAACCCGAAAGTTCAGCCTGTTGTACAGATTAAACTCATCTGTTACGGAATTAATACTGTTTTAATTCCAATTTTAAATCTGAGTTTATTCCTACTTAGTGGGTGACCGTTACAGGTGTTATACAATTGGTTTAATACCACTTAAAAGCCATGTTGAATGCTATCCCTTCCAACAGCCCTATATAAAGAGAGGTAGAGCAGTAGTATTTTCACACAGTACAAAAACGAAAGGAATTCCAGTAGCTTTCAGCTTCCCAAAACTCTGCTTCTACTCTCTTCTTTACCAACTAGTGTTCTCTACTTTGCTTTGTTTGCCGGGTTCCTTGTTTAGGTGCTTAAACAAGGAATCGTAGCACGTTTTATCCTGGGAAACCTAGGCTACAACGCTCCTAGCACTTGTGGGAGGTAGCAAATAAGGTTTTAAGGAAAAGAACCTTGTGTTCGAACTCGTGCTAAACCTATACCCAAACACTCAACCTTTTCCTTCCCAATTTTCTGTTTTCCCATATAATATTAATCTTTCCGTAGGATTATTATTATTTTTGGGATTTTACAACAATATTACCCAACAATATATATATATATATATATATATATATATATATATATATATATATATATATATATATATATATATATATATATATATATATATATATATATTTCGGTTCACATGAGGACTCATCCTTAGGTGAGGATGTGAGAACTAATTTAGACCACTAAATCGTGTGCAGAGCGGTTGGAACGTGTCAGAGTGCAGTTAAGGTTTGATGGTTTATTTTGTGTAGATAGAGTGGGCTTGGGTGGTGGATTAGCCCTCTTATGGCGTGAGAAGGAAATGGCAACTCTTCTAAGTTACTCAGGAAGCCATATTGATGTGACGGTGTCGCTACCAGGGGGGACCCATGGCGTCTCACTTGTTTCTATGGGCATCCGGAACGATCGCGAAGGACCAATCATGGGATCTTTTACGTAACCTGAGTCCTGTATCCTCCCTGCCATGGGTAGTGATCAGGGACTTCAATGATTTAGACAGTCACGCCGAGAAGAAGGGTCCAGTTTCCCATCCGGATAGCTTAATTAGAGGTTTTAATGATACTTTACAAGACTGTGATTTATCCGATCTTGGTATGTCAGGATACGAGTTCACGTGGGAAAGGGGTCATAGAACGGAACATTGGGTCGAAGAACGCCTAGACCGGGCAGTAGCATCGCCTGCTTGGTGCGATCTATATCAAGAAGCTTTGGTACATAATCTGCTGACTATGTACTCAGATCATAGTGCGATTTTGCTCACTTTGGAAGGTAGGCCGGTAAGACAAAATGCCAGGCACTTTAAATTTGAAGCCGCCTGGCTTTTAGACGGGAATTGCAGGAAAGTGGTGGAGCACTCATGGGGTTTCTCTCGTGGTCTCGTTTTCCAGCAACGTATCGAACGATGTGGCAAAGATCTATGGCGTTGGGGAGGGGAATTGTTTAGGAAATTCGGGAAGAGGATTTAGTGGTTGAAAGCGAGGTTGGAGACGATGAGGGGTAGTCGTATTGCCCATGATATAAAAGAGTATTGTCGGATGGAATCTGAATTGCGAGAACTCCTAGCCAAAGAGGAAGTTTATTGGCGTCAGAGGTCTAAACAGTTGTGGCTCCGCGAGGGTGATCATAACACCAAATTTTTCCACAGAATGGCGTCAAGTCGTCGTAGTCGGAACAAGTTGAGTCGCATCCGAAATTCAACTAACGATTGGGTTGAAAACGAAGACATGCATGCGGAAATACTACGGTACTATGATGACATATTTACGTCGGCTGCATGTGAAGCAGGCAGATTGAATAGTGTGCCGTGCCGTGTAACACCGGAGATGAACGATCAACTATGCAAACCCATAACGAATGAGGAAATCAAAGACGCATTATTTTCTATGGCGCCAGATAAGGCGCCGGGTCCCGATGGTATGTCCCATTCGTTTTATCAAAATTTTTGGTCTGTTGTGGGGGAGGATCTGTGTAATTTTGTCAAGGAATGTATACGCAATGGTAGCATGCCGACGGGGCTCAACGATGTCAACGTCGTGCTTATTCCGAAGAAAAAGTGTCCGGAACGTGTGTCTGATTTACGGCCCATTGCTTTATGCAATTTGGCTGGCCAACAGAATGAAAGAGTGTTTAGAGACGGTAATTTCACCAAGCCAGAGCGCTTTCATCCCGGACAGGTTGATAACCAATAATATTATTGTTGCAGGGGAGGTGGGGCATTTTCTAAGAGGCAAACGGACAGGCAATGTGGGATGGGCAGCGCTCAAGCTTGACATGGCTAAATCGTACGACCGGATGGAGTGGGGATTCCTCAGTGATATGCTACTAGCGTTGGGGTTCGCCTGCGGGTGAGTTGACCTCGTGCTACTGTGTGTGAATTCAGTGAAGTATAATATTGTGGTGAATGGCGGTTCCGTGGGGTCAATTGTGCCGAATTCGGGGTGCAGCAAGTAACCGAATTCGGGAGATATCTCGGCTTCCCATCCTTTTTAGGCCGGAATAAAACCTCGGTGTTTAAGTACATCGAATAGCGTGTAAGAGAGCGCATTAGCACGTGGCAGAAAAAGTTATTATCGAAAGCAGGGAAGAAATTCTTTTGAAGAGTGTCGCACAAGCAATGCCGATCTTTGCTATGTCCGTGTTCCTTTTGCCAAGAAATACTTGTGACTCAATCGAGAAGATTATGAATCGTTTCTGGTGGGAGAACGGGGGCAACAGTGGACGAGGCATCCATTGGGCCTCCTGGCTTCGCCTGGCAGTCCCGAAAAAATGTGATGGCATGGGTTTCAAGCGACTACACGAATTCAATGTGGCGCTCGTAGCGAAGCAGGGCTGGCGGATTCTCTCCAAACCTTTTTCGCTGGTGAGTCAGATTTTGAAAGAAAAATATTTTCCCAAGGTTTGTTTCTTGGACTCACAAGTCGGACACAATCCTAGATATTTGTGGCGGAGCATCCATGCGGGGCAGGCCATTCTGCGAGAGGGAGTTATTCGCCGCATTGGAGATGGCACAGACACTCTAATATGGGGTCGTCCATGGGTGGCAGATGCATCTAATGGGGCACTAAGAACCCCATGTGTGGAAGAGCTACGCGAGGCGAAGGTTAGCAATCTAATGACCCCCGACGGGGAATGGGATTTGGACGTTATCCAGGACCTCTTTCTTGAACCAGATATTGTTCGTATCCTGAACACACCTATTTCACCACAACACCGTGATGCTTGGTGTTGGTACCATGATATGAAAGGGGTGTATTCTGTCAAGCACGGCTATTAGGCTCAGACCTCGGCCCTCATCACCCACAATCTGGAGTCAGACTTCACCGAATAGCGTAAACTATGGCGCCTTAGAATCCCACCAAAAGTCAAAATTCTGCTATGGTGCTGTTTGAGAGGGATGATACCTGTTTGTGAGACTCTACGTTCGAAAGGGATTTGGATTTGCGGGGGTTGCTCTCTGTGTACTTCTGATGTTGAAACTTTTGAACATCTATTCGCAACTTGCCCAATGGCGCGCCAACTGTGGGGTATCGATGACCTCCTCCAAGGATGCAGCTTTGCAGGTTTTATGGGACACAGTATCCGCACTTTGCCCTGTACATCAATGCTATACTTAGCGGCGAGAATATGGGTCATCTGGCAAACACGCAATGCGGTGGTCTAGAACGGAAAAAACTGGACCATTGAGTGGCTTCGTCGATAGATTGATGGTCTCGTCTCAACATGGCAGGAGTGCCTAACGCCGAATCCAATGTTATGTCAACGGAGTCAGCCTAAACCAGTGTGTTGGGTACCATCGCCGCTAGGAGTCCTTAAATGTAATGTCGATGCGGCTGTTTCCGAGCGAGGTATTTGTTACGGGGCGGTCCTTAGTGATCACCTTGGGAGATTTGTGGCAGCCAGCAGTGATAGCCTACGCTGCAACCCTGACCCATACTGTGCGGAGGCGTTGGCGACAAGAGAAGCTCTTTCAGGGCTCAAGACTCAACAGGCAACAAGTTTTATTTTAGAGTCTGACTGTTTAAATTTTTGTACAAGCTTTAATTCTAGTAGTCAGTATCTTTCGTACGTAGAAATGATCATTGAGCAATGTCGTATCATTTCAAGAGACATTGGGAACGTGTTAGTTCACCATGTCAAAAGGTTAGCGAATCACGCGGCGCATGTGCTCGCACAGGCTGCTGTTTCTCATTCTGTCCTTGGGGTGTAGATTACTCACCCTCCTGATTGTATTTCGGAGTTGTTCTAATATAATCCACTTTTTGTTTCAAAAAAAAAAAGGGGAACAAATCACACCTTTAATGAAACAAATCCCTTTAAAATATTAAAAAATATAAAGTTATGGTAAATCAGTCTTATTAGGAGTTGTGCATCCCTATACAGAATATCGCGCATTCCTATTCCAAGTGTTGTGAATCGATAATTCTCTAGCTGTGTGCATCCAAACACCGCCAAAAAATTCTACAATAGGCATCCCAATATCCTACGATGTACCGCACTAAATAGGCATCCCAGTGTCGACAATTCCAAGTCCCGAAATAAAATTTCGCAGCCATAATCCATGATTTGTGGCCATAAAACATGCCACAAACTCAGCTTCCATAGTGGATGCAGCAATGACAATCTGCTTCACACTTTTCCAAGAAATAGCCCCTTCGGCTAAAAGGAATAAATAACCAAATGTGGACTTCCTTTGTCCAAACACCCAGCAAAATCTGAATCTGTGTATCCTATCACCTCAAGGTGATCAGATCGCTTATAAGTAAGCATGTGCTCCTTTGTACCTTGCAAGTACCTTAATACTTTCTTTGCAGCCTTCCAGTGATCCATAACAGGATTACTTTGATAACGACTAAGCATCCCAACAGCAAAGCTAATGTCTGGTCAGGTACATGTTTGGGCATACATCAAACTCCCAACGATAGATGCATAAGGAATATTTTCCATTTCCTTACGCTCTAATTCATTCTTGGGGCATTGCATAAGGCTGAACTTATCTCCCTTCTGAATTGGAGCAACTGATGCAGAACATTTTTCCATTCTAAATCTTTCTAAGACTTTGTTAATATATGCTCTCTGAGACAATCCCAACACTCCTTGTGATCTATTACGAAATATTTCAATTCCAATTACAAAGGATGCCTCACCCATATCTTTCATTTCAAAGTGCTTAGAAAGAAATTGCTTGGTCTCAAGCATTAAACCAAGATCATTAGTAGCAAGCAAAATGTCATCGACATACATAATAAAAAATATAAACTTGCTCCCACTGACCTTCAGATATATACACTGATAAGCGGTGTTTTCCTTAAATCCAAAGGCCGTTACAGTATCATTAAACTTAAGATACCATTGTCGGGAAGCTTGTCTAAGTTATAAATAGATATTTAATTATGAGCCACAATAAATTATAATGAACAATAGAATAATAATAATTCTAACATATATATATATATATATATATATATATATATATATATATATATATATATATATATATATATATATATTATATATATATATATATATATATATATATATATTTCAGTTCACATGAGGACTCATCCTTAGTTGAGGATGTGAGAACTAATTTAGACCACTAAATCAGAATGATGAATGCCTAAGATTAAAAGGAACAAATCACACCTTTAATGAAACAAATCCCTTTAAAAAATTAAAAAATATAAAGTTAGGGTAAATCAGTCTTATTAGGAGTTGTGCATCCCTATACAGAATATCGCGCATTCCTATTCCAAGTGTTGTGAATCGATAATTCTCTAGCTGTGTGCATTCAAACACCGCCAAAAAATTCTACAATTGGCATCCAAATGTCATACGATGTACCGCACTAAGTGCACTAATGCACAGCTTACCAACCTATGCTGCACAATTCACAACACTAGCTACATTACACAACCGGCACACCCGAATACACAACCGTACTACCATGACATGTGTACATATACACCAACTTCCAAATAAAAGAAATATTATAATCAAAAGAACGAGCAAAAAAAATACTGATCACTTTGCATGGGCGAACACTAAATCGATTATGAAGAAATTGCGGCTCGAAACTGCAACGACAATAATCCAAGAAAATATGAAATAAATTTGGCCAATGATTACAATGCGTTCACACTTAAAAAAAAAAAAAAAAAGAACAAAGACACTAAACTACTCCACATTAACAAAAATAAAAAATAAAAAAAAATCAATCCATATCACCTTAGAAAATAAAAATAAAAAATAAAAAAATAAAGGAATAAGGTTCAAATTGGACACTGAACGTAACCTGAAAATGCAATTAGGCCACTGAACGAAAAAAAAAAGTGTAATTAAACCACTGAACACTCCAAATGTATGCAATTTCACCTGATAGCAGTTACCATCAATTTTAGCAGGTTACCTGCTTACGTGACATTTGAGTTGACATTTTTAATAATTTTTAAATAATTTTTAATAAATTTTAATAATATTTTTTTAAAAAAAATTAAATTAAATAACAAATGCCGGGCACCCCGTCGTTTTATTTTAATTTTGATTTATTTTTTTTTTCAATTTTTAAAATTTATTATTAAAATTTATTAAAAATTATTAAAAATGCCAACTCAGCTGCCACGTAAGCATGTAACCTGCTAAAATTGATGGTAACCTGCTATCCGGTAAAATTGCATACATTTGGAATGTTCAGTGGCCTAATTGCACGTTTTTGGAGTGTTCAGTGGCCTAATTGCACTTTTTTTTTTTTATTTCGTTCAGTGGCCTAATTGCATTTTCAGGTTACGTTCAGTGGCCAATTTGAACCTTAAAAAACGACCGCACAAATTTAGTCCTCACGTCCTCACCTACTAATGGGTCCTTAGCTCATTTGAACTATATATATATATATATATATATATATATATATATATATATATATATATATATATATATATATATATATATATATATATATATATATATATATATATATATATATATATATATAATCGCACTCAGGTGCGAATGCTTCGCCCAGGAGCGAAATAGGAATGGATTCTGTCCGTCCACGTGTACATATCTAATGGATGAGAAACACTGATTTTTTTTAAAAAGCGCGGTGACATTTTCGTAAATAATTGAACATCGAAGTGCAAGTAAAATGTATTACAAGTGCATGTAAAATGTATTATAGGTGCAAGTAAAAATTTCCACCGTGTATCAATACTAAATGCACCAATAGTTATAAGTAGTTGCACCTATAGTTTTAAGTAGTTGCACACATAGTTACAAGTAGTTGCGCCTAGGCACATGAATATTTGCGCGTGATTTTCAGGGGTATTACTACCCGTTGAACTCAGATCAATGAATGTTAATAAGGCAAAATTACATGCACTTATAGGTGAAAGTAGGTGCACCTATAGTTATAAGTAGTTGCATCTATAGTTATAAATAGTTGCATCTATAGTTATAACTTATAAGCACACCCAAGTGCATGAAAGTTTGCGGGAAGTGAATGCTAACAAGACAAAATTACATACACACATAGGTGAAAGTAGGTGCACTTGTAAGTGATTTTACTTGCACTTCGAAGTTCAATTATTTACGAAAATGTCACCGCATTTTTTAAGCTATTAGATCTGGACACGTGTCGCGCGCTAATTTGTTCGCATATTTCTTCTTGGGCACTTATTCGCACCTGAGTGCATCCCTATATATATATATATATATATATATATATATATATATATATATATATATATATATGAAGTTTTACATGGTAGGTCTTACCTTATATCCACATTCATTGCGATTGCATCAAATGAAAAAAACAAGTTATCAATTTAATTACCTCTAGAGAATCCCCAACATTAACAATGAAGGCATTAGGAATTGGCACAATTGGAATCCAAGCTCCATCTTTCCTAATTAATTTCAAGACCTTGCGTTTCATTCACTTGATGGAGTATAATTAGGCCACCAGGATCTGAGTGAGCAGCAATTATACTGTGGAAAATGATCCAAAACAGTAGACACTATATGTATCTAAATTAGCAGTGTCTCATGTATTATTTTTATTATATTTTTAAATTAAACTGCATTTGAATAGAAATTAAATTGTAGTTGTATTGAAATGAAACTGCAGTGTATACAAAATGAAACTGAATAACAATTTCTCATATTTGAGTGCATATTGTCCAGCGAAACTGTAGTTATATCAAAATCATACTTTAATTGTGTTGAAATGAAACTGCAATGCATATTTGGTGTCTGGACAACAATGCATTGTGGACCGCGGTCCACAGTATAATTTACCCCGATTGAGGGCGAAGGCCCATAACAAGCTCTAGCTGGGACCAGTTATTATACCATGGTCTACCTTGCAAGGTGGACCCTGGTCCTAAATTGTGTATTTTTAGTATGAAATTGTGAATTTTTAAAATATAAATTATGTTTCTAAGTTTTGAGAGTTTGTGAATACAATACAGGGTTATCGCAAATTGTGAATTTAAAGGAAAAAAGAAGTGTTGAAACAATTAAATACATGAAAATGGGAAAGAAAATAAAATTTAGAGGAAATGCAGATACATTATTTAAGGTTTTGGTTGCCAATCCGCCACAATTATTGCAGAGTCTTGGACTACATGCATGAAAACAATGTTTTTATCCTTATATATGTTTCCACATGTAGTCCATGTTTCCATGAAAAAGACAAATTAAAGTAAAAAGTAATAACATTATTAATTGTACTTCTCATCATAGTCATTAATTGACCAATCTAAAGGCATCCACTTGTGATTTCCCATCAAGCTTTCGTCCAAAAAACAAACGAAAAAACTCAGTCACAGTAACTCTCTTGAATTTTGGTGGGTTTTGTGGGGTGATAAGGCTGATAGCTGGACCTAACTCACCATCCAACCTTGGGCTCAGAAATGTTGCAATAGATATCCTCTCCTTGTCTCTACTTACTATTCCTCTATGTTCAATGCTGCGATAAGCTCCATTTGTAAATATCTGTAAAATTCAATTTTCAAATTGTGGTGAGTGTTGTAAAAATCGGTTTAGGCGCTTCTAGGCTGAGACGATTTCAGCCCTGTGTAGCTTTTAGTCGGCTGACCGACTAAGTGGCTGACTAGGCGTCGGCTTGGCCGAGTTGCGCCTAACTCAGTCGAGTCGGGCATCTAGCTTGACTGAGTCCGTGCCTAACTTGGCCGGAGTGATTTTTTTGCCTGATCGGCTACTCCTCTTCTATATTTCTCCCGACATATACCCAACTAACGATCTAACATTGATTAGTTTGAAAATTATAACAATGTAACAACTCCTAACTCTGGGTGAGAAAAGTGGAGATCAGACAATATACTCGGATAAGTCGCCTAGGCGTGCGCCCTATTAGCGTCTAGCGCCTTTTGCAACATTGATCGTGCTTACAGTCATTCAATTAATCACTTTTTAACTTTTAAATCCACATTCTAAAGAAAAAACCAAGAAAAAATATCAATATAATTACCTCTAGAGAATCCCCAACATTAACAATGAAGGCATTTGGAAGTGGCACAATGGGAATCCAAACTCCATCCTTTTTAATCTCAAGACCATTTGTTTCATTCACTTGAAGGAGTATAGTTAAGCCACCTGGATCAGAGTGTGGGCTAAGACCCATAACAAGCTCTGGTTGAGGACATGGTGGATAATAGTTCATCCTAATTGACTGCATTCCTTCTTCGAAAACCATTCTCATTTCTTCGAGTTCTATTCCCAAATTTTGTGCTACAAGACTTAGAACCTTCATGGCAAGCTTATGCACTTCTAATGAGTATGCTTCCACAGTATCCCTCCAAGGTTTAAAAAAAACAAACAAAAATGTAATATAATTAATTAACTATTTAATTTATAAGACGAACTAATTTTTTTTAAAAAAACACTTATTATTCTTTACAATATAGTATCTGTTCTATACTTTTTCAATCATTTCTGACTCTTTTTTAGAGTAAAGAATCAATACCCCCACTACTGGGGTTCGATCCTGTGACCACCTAAAAGAGGTGTCATCACATGGATTTGTCACGCTTAGTTTTAAACTTTTAATTTAACCACTCGTAGTCCTTCAACTTTCAAATTTTAGGAAATTTAATTACCTGAAAACCTCTGGTAGTATAGGAAAAAGGTGAGGTGATCTTATATGGGGTGGTAGGGTTCTTAGGTAAAACAGATCTGCCCAATCAAGCTTCTGCTCTTCAGATACAACAAAGAGTTGACCAAATCCTTGTGCTTCCCCTGCCACCTTCTCATACTTCTTCTTTTCTTCCAATGGCAGATTAAAGAGATTTTGAACCTCATGTTTTGCTTTCTCAATCAGTGAAGACTCAACTCCATGATTTATTAGCTGCATCTTTTCAATTTTAGATTGCTATATTATTGATTAGACTTAATTTCATTTTTTTTGTCCAAATTTATAGGTGATATTTCACTTTTAATATATACTTTTTTACAATACATTCTTTGTTGGCCCTAGCATTATGGAGTTGTTATACCATGGCCTTGGATCTACCTTGCAAGGTGGATCTAGTCCTAAACAACGTATAAGTTGTGTATTTGTAATATTAAAATTGTGAATTTCTAGAATAAAAATTGTGTTTTAAATCAAAACACATAACAACTGTAGAAGAGAATTTGTGAATACAATACATGGTTATTAAATCCTAATATGTTAATATTGTGTGAGTACAGTATTTAAAAGAAACTTGTGAATACAAAACAAGGTAATCAATTATATATATGTTAACATTATGTGTTCGTAGTATACAAATTGTGAATTTTTAAAAGGTGAATTGTGAACATTTAATATGTAAATTGTGAACATTTAGACTCGGGTCCATAGAATAATTTGCGAGCATTATTGTGACATGTCACTTTAAGATTTATAGGTGTCATTTATTATTTAATCAACTCACTAAAAATGATCATATTATAATAATACTAGAACTAACCGGAGATGTTCTGAAAAAATATTAAAAATGAAATAACACCAGGACAAAAATGAAATTATGATTAAATAATAAATGCATTATCTAATTATAAACTTCAATTTATATAGACGAGATAATAGATATTAACACGTGAGAGGGTTTTCGTGTGTTTGTGGTGCATATGTGTTTGGGGGAGAGGGGAGAGATAAGGTGAGAAGTGAGAAATGAGAGTGAATTTCGGCTGTTGATTGAAAATCAATGGACGGATCAGTTTTATATTTAACCTGAATTAGTTCACTTTTGACTTATATTAAACAAAAAACTAGTATTTCTTATGCGGGATGTGCAAAAAGTAGATGCCCAATATTAATATTTTATATTAAAATTTTAAATTTATTTAGATTTTAGATATTTAAATTATTCTAAATAATAATAATAATAATAATAATAATAATAATAATAATAATAATAATAATAATAATAATAATAATGTAAAACATTTCTATAAATTTAATATTTATATTTTCAAAAATAACTAACATATAACTCTAATATATAATGTATATTATTATTATTATTATTATTATTATTATTATTATTATTATTATATAATAAATCTATTTGACACTTCTCCCATTATTTGACACTTCTCCCTCCTCCTTCTTCTTCTTCTTCTTCTTCTTCTTCTTCTTCTTCTTCTTCTTCTTCTTCTTATTATTATTATTATTATTATTATTATTATTATTATTATTATTGAAAATAAGAAAATATATGGTGGACGCATGTGCATGGTATCAATAGTGGAAAAGATAACGGAAGTTACTTACATTAATATGCACGGTTAAAATCACGTTTACATGAAGAGAATAAAACTTGAGTTAATACCATCTGAGGTCCTCCGAGTATAGTAGTTTTGCCACGTTTAGTCCTAAACTTTCAAATTGACCATATATGGTCCTTCGACTTTCAAATTTAACCATTCGTGGTCAAAGTTAACCACCTATGGTCCTTCAAGTTTCAAAATTTAACTAGCCGTGGTCCTCTTGAAAGGACCATGGTTGGTTAAAATTTAATAATTGAAGGACCATGAGTGGTTAACTTGGACCACGAATGGTTAAATTTGAAAGTCGAAGGACCACAGATGGTTAATTTGAAAGTTTAGGACTAAACGTGACAAAATCACTATATTCGGAGGACCTCGGATGGTATTAACTCATAAAACTTTAATCATGAATGTGAATTCTAAATGGCAAAAATAACCTCATAAAAAAGAGTTTGCGAATAGATTTGATAATTATATAATACCAAGGACTAAAAGTGCACCATAATTCAAAATTTAGAGACTAAATTTGATTAAATTGTTGTATTCATTTAAATTTGTTTAAATCAAATCTGAAGGACCAACTCAAGTAACAAATGAACTTCTTTGTGGGACGATTTCCAGAATAATCCGGATTCGATTCTATAAGTGATAATTCCTCTTGAGTCAGCTCTTGTGTCTCTCAGAGCGAACGGGCAAGACAGACGGATATAAACCCAGAACAACTCGTGATTTGCACAAACCAAAAGTTGAACCAAATTTTTGAAAAATAAAACAATTGAGGTAGCAAAAATATTGGTTTCCGAAAAAAATTTATTTGAGAAGTTTGAAGCAGTAAATTGTGTGAGTCTAAAGAAATTTTCGAAAATAAAACATTCCAGGTAGCAAAAAAGTTGGTTTCCAAAAAAAATAAAAATCATTTAAGAAGTTTGAAGCAGTAAATTGTGTGAAGTCTAAGAAATTTGCTTATAATAACCTGAAAGAAACCCCAATCTTTGCAGGCAAAGTGCAACTTCTGAAGTTCCGAATCTCCCCACTCCTCAGAGAGCAACTTTTGTAGGTCAATCACCGGCACATCGGAGGCGGAACATGGCTCGGCCGGTGCCGGAGATTCTCCCTTCCCACCCTCGCGTACATAACGGCTTGGAATCACGGCGGGGTTCTCCTTCGCCATCTGCTGGACGCTAGGCACAGGGAGAGACGCCCCCAGCCTCTGCGTATCAGTTTTCACGCCGGTCTCCATGGATCTTTTTACTGTCACAATATAAATGTCTGTATTCCCATATATATATATACATATATATTCTACCATGAGTAGATTTGTCGGCGTCAATCACTTTGACAATTATGGATTACAAATAAAAAATTATATATTTCGTCCCTTATAGAATTCGTCTCAAAATAATGGCCTTGTTCACTTTTTGTTCTTAAGTTATTATTGGTGTTGCATTTTTCGTCCATCTACTAATAAAACATTAGGAATAAAAAATAGCACGAGAAGTTAACTTAGGGACGACAAATGAACACGAGAAATTATGTTAGAGACGAAAAGTGCAACGAACGCCAAATCGCCAATAATAGTTTAGGGTCGAAAAATAAATGAGACCAACACTTAGTGATGAATTTTATAATTATTTTATAATTTAAGCACGAAGTTTGTAATTTTGCCGATAACAAATGAAATTACATGGTTGGCAGGATAGCCTGTCCCCTGATTTAATATAAAGCTAAGTATTCGGTCATATCTAGTTACCTACTTGCCTTGCATTTATTCTTGTAGGCTTGTCGTATTTATATATTTGGATTTTTAGAATTGTTGCCGCCAATAAACTAATGTTTAGTTGATAAAATTGATTTATTTTTGGAAAAACCTTCAATCTATTAAACAAAAAGTAAGATAAAGTAGGCTTCAAATAATCAAAGAAATCCACCCAAAGTCAAGAAGTGTCTAAGTAATAAAAGCATGTCACAATTTTAGGACAAATTGAGCTTAAAGCTAAGATTAATAAAAAAAAAAAAAAACCCAATCTAAATAAAGAAAAGGGTATTGTCAAACCCGCAACCCTGAAGTGCTTGGTTTAAGTTTACTTGGGCCTAAAGGGGATGAAGTTCAAGTTGAGGATGAGTTTGAGGCAGGATTAGGGGTGAGCATAGGGGGAGGGAAATCGAGACAGATGTTGAACTTGTGAGTGAATTAGAAAGTGAGAGTGACCATAACAACGAGCAGGATATTGATTTACGCACTGACAGTGAACATGAGACTAAGAGTGAGAGTGACCATGAGAGGGAGCAGAATACAAATATAAATGAAGGTAGGGATAAGAGAAAAAGAAGAGGAATGGTAGATGATGAAACTGTACCTCAATATGTGCTTCCATCAGATATTTCTTTAGAAGATGCACAAGATTCTAAGTATTATGATTCAGAAGATCAGATCCACCTACAGTTAAAGAAGAATTGCATAATAAGGAAGGGAATGAAGTGCAATCAAATTAAAGTACAAGTATAATCCTAAATATGATCCACAATTTGTTGAATTAGGTATGTATTTTGATGATAATGTGCAATTCAAGCTTGCTATGATAAGTTGTGCTGCACACACTAAGAGGGATTTATTCTGAAAAAAAAAGGATTAAAGTATGTTAGGGTAGAATGTCTTGGAATGACATGTGCATTTCATGTTAGTGCATGGTGGGCAGAAAGAAGTAGGTGATTTCAAGTGAAATCAATTATGTTGGTGCATAGATGCAATTCTCAATTCACCTTAGGGATAGTTAGTCAAATGTGGTTAGAATGGAAATATGAAGAAAATGTAAGGCAAAATCCTACTATTAGTTATTCAGAATTGAGCAGGGCCATTAAATCTGAGTTGAACCTTAATGTCACAATCACTATGTGTAGAAGGGAAATAATGCGGATTCTAAAGAAGTTGGATATAGGATATGAGAGTCAGTTCAAGAGGCATAGAGATTATGCTCAAGAGTGTCTAAATTCAAATCCAGGTTCTACTGTGAAGATAAAAACTACAAGAACTGGTCTTACTTCACCCTTGGTGTTTAAGAGGATTTATATATGTTTTAATGCCATAAAGAAGGGATTCTTAGCAGGATGTAGGAAGTTTATTGGACTAGATGGAATCTTCTTGAAGGGCAAAATCCTCATAGCTGTTGGTAGGGATGGAATAACCCGATGTACCTAATTAATTGCTTGGGTTGTAGTTGAGATTGAAAATAGCTCTTCATGGATATGGTTTCTGGAGCTTCTCAAGCCAGACTTGGACATTACGGACAGTAGTGAATGGACATTAATGAGTGATCAACAAAAGGTAAACAATCCAATTTCATTTTGTCAATATGTTTGTATATAATTAAATCCATCTTGCTTTGTATTTATTGCTATTTCAATGGCATGGATTATCCAATGTCATTCAAGATCTAATCCCTGGTGTTCAACATAGAAACTGTAAGAGGCATGTGTATGCTAATTGGAGTAAAAGCCATCGCGGGAAGGTTCCAAAAAGTCATTTCTGGTATATATATATATTGCAAAGACCACAAATGAAGCACAATTTGCAGAAAATTTGAAGGCTTTAGAGAAGATATATGTTGCGACACACATTGATCTTGACAAATATCCTATGCAATTCTGGTGCAAGGCTTACTTCAAAGAAAATGTGAAGTGTGACATGATAGATAACAACTTGAATGAGACATTCAACGATAACTTTGTTGAATGCAAGGTCAAAGTTTATAATTTCAATGCTTGAGGATATATGAGTAACAACAATGAAGAGGATTGCAAAGAAAAAAGCATGGGCTGAAAATTGGAGAGGGAATTATGGCTCATTGGTGATGAAGAGACTCAATGAAAGCATACTTGTGAGTGCAAGTTAGGAAGTGGCCTTCAATGGAGTTGAGGGCTATAAGATTAAAAAGGGCATATTTCAATTCAAGGTTAATTTACAATTGAAAACCTGTTCTGGTAGTGTAACACCCCCCAAACACGACCTATATAAAAAAGCCTTAACACCTGCAGATCAAACACAAAACTAGCACAGCGAAAGATAAAACGGAAACTGGATAAATAGAAATCCAACGGGGTGTTATGCCACGTCTACCAAACCCGGTAAACGCTACGGCAGCCAATTTGCAAGTGTATACATCTATCCCAAAAAGGTAACAGTCTAACACTACAACGGCACACAGGCCACGAAACAAAGGTGAAAGGTACTAGACTACCGGCCACTAACATCATGCTCGTCTAGACATCACCTGAAAGACACAAAGATAAACATTGGGACGACGCCCGGTCAGCGATAATGCTGGTAACCCACCAGTACCTGTTAAGTATCATACATAGGTAGGATATATATACAAAAATCATTTCGAAACGGAATACATATATATAAGTGTAAAACCGAGAGTAAACACCAACTCAAGACTCAACACTCATCAATAAACACCACGGGAACACGTCCCAAGACCACAACGGATAACGACACCACAAGGATAAAGACACGACAAACGGCAACACATGCCTAGGCAACACATGCCTTTGTGACTACACACGTCACAAGATAAGAATACACAACCACGGCTACACAAGCCCTCGTGACATCACCCGCCACGAGTTGATATGCCTTCCTTATGCCCTGTTCTAACCTTATGGCTACCCCCAACGTTATATCTAGTTCCAACCTTTACCTCCAGGACCCCTGTACATACAGTCCAACCTTATTCCCCCGGGAATCGTCATTCCCCCTCCGACAGACCTCTAACAAAAACCACCGATTCATAGTACCCGCGGCACTATCACGCACATGGCACACATGCCTGGATAACACCTGTTATCCCCCAAAAATGTGAACCTAACACAAAGGCCACAGCTCCATAATCACGCCACGGCCACCACGAGGACCGCTGCAATACCTTGGTGACTAGTGTCCCATACCACTAATCGTTCAATCCAGGTAAAGCCACATACGCACCACAAGTCAACAAGAGTCAAACAACGGATCACAACGAAGGCATGAAACATACTCGATCAAGGAACGGGTCACAGCCCAACAACAACAACGATGAATAACGCAAGTTATCATCAACCAAACGGAAGGTACAAACAACACACACGCTAGCATTTAGACAACAAACTAGCATGCTTATCAACAGGGAAACTCAAGATAGTTCCGAGGAACACACAAGACACCTCACGGTCCAACGAAACACAATGTTGAACACTTAGCACGATTCAAGACACCAACGTCCTACATGGATACCTACCATATAGTTCTAGACATACGAAACATCAAGGAGACACTCAAATAGTTCCACAAAAGAACATCGGGAAATCAAAAGACCAAATACCGAGTCAAAAGAATCACGGGGAACAAATCCCATTCCAACTCCACTATGTTCCCCGCGGGTGGACCCACGGGTAGGCTCCCACCCGTGGTTCCGCCCGCGGGTACACTACCCACGAGGCTACATGTTCCCCGCGGGTGGGCGGCGGGTGGATCTCGACCCGTCGTTCCGCCCGCGGGTACATATACACCTGTGCAAAATAATCCCTTCGGGGATTTTTATCTCCAAACTCCAATTCAAGTCCAAAATATGCCAAATCTCACCCAATACAACAAAATGACTTGAATCATAGGAAATGCCAGGCAATGACACAAAAGAACCCTAAACACAAGCTCTAGATATGCAATATCACAAGACAAATGCATAAACCCTCACATTTCATAGCAAAGCACAAGTAGAATCCAAGAAATCACATATAGGTAAGCAAAATAGGTTTTAGTAGAGCATGGGTTACCTCTTGTAGACCAAAAGACTTCACTTTACACCTCACAAGCTCCTTACAAGGCTTACTTTCCAAACCCACTTCAAGATCAAACCAAAAGATCATAAAGATCCTACCTTTAAGAAAAAGACAACTAAGATGGAACCAAAAACACAAGATAGACTTAGATCTTACCCTCCTAGATGCTCAAATAGGTGAAAGGTTGAATCTTGGAATCTTGACAAGGGTCTCAACTTAGCTTGAAGAATAAGCTACACCTCTTTTCTAGAGAGAAGATAGAAAAATTTTCTAGGAATTGTAAGGAATGAAGTGAAGAAGTCTTCTAGGTTAGGTTACAATACTAACTCTTGGTGAAAAGTCAAGAATACCCTTACTAACATTTAGAAAGTGTAAGAAACAAGGGAACTCTCTCCAAAGCTCAAAGTACAACATGACTTTGAAGTTGACTAGTCAAATACTAGTCCTCA